TTGCGTCACGGCGCGGCATGTAGAACACTTCTTCAAGCCGGGAGAACCCAGCAATTTTTTTTTTCTAAACTATACACAGAGTAACTGGGTAGAACTATGTACTGAAAGGAGACAGGTTTTTTGTTGTTTTTTTTAATGTTAGCTTCACTTGTTATGTCAAATTACTAATTACTACTAAAAACAAACTATTACTAAATAACTAATTTTTTTCTGTCAGGTTATGAAGAGAAGCAGTTCATTCCGCCTGCGACCGTGAACGGTTAGGAGGAACTGATGGGAGCCAGACAGCACACAGCCTCAGAAGTGGCACGAAGTGCTCGCGATGCTGCCGTGCATGAATCTCCGACCTGCAGTGCTGGGACAAGCCCGACACGTACAGTGGAGCATCCATGGGGACACTACCCGAAAAAGAACTGCCCTTATCTGTCAGTGCAAAGTACTAAATTTTCCCAAGTTATGTCAGGACCCCAAGAGGTTTTCCCCATCACCTCTGTAAAAAAAGGCCCCACTCTCATCTTCATTACTTTTAGGCTCGCCCAGCTGCTACAGCCTAAGGCTGTGGCTAGACTGGCCAGTTTTTCCAGAAAATCAGCCGCTTTTCCGGAAAAACTTGCCAGCTGTCTACACTGGCTGCTTGAATTTCCGCAAAAGTACTGACTTCCTACTGTAAGAAATCAGTGTTTTTTGCGGAAATACTATGCTGCTCCCGTTCGGGCAAAAGTACCTTTTGCACAAAACTTTTGCGCAAAAGGGCCAGTGTAGACAGCTGAGATTTGTTTTCCGCAAAAAAGCCCCGATCACGAAAATGGCGATAGGGGCTTTTTTGTGGAAAAGCGTCCGTGGCCAATCTAGACACGCTTTTCCGCAAAAAAGCGTGTCTAGATTGGCCACGGACGCTTTTCCGCAAAAAGTGCTTTTTTGGAAAAACGTCCATGCCAATCTAGATGCTCTTTTCCGAAAATGCTTTTAATGGAAAGCTTTTCCATTAAAAGCATTTCTGGAAAATCATGCAGGCCTGGGTTTCCCCTGGCCCCCTCTACCTTCTTGCTGTCTGATTGGCCACGGACGCTTTTCCGCAAAAAGTGCTTTTGTGGAAAAGCGTCCGTGCCAATCTAGACGCTCTTTTCTGCAAATGCTTTTAACGGAAAACTTTTCCGTTAAAAGCATTTCCGGAAAATCATGTCAGTCTAGACGTAGCCCAAGAGAGTGTTACTTCCTCAGACTCAACAGCTGTTACTCTCAGGGAGTGTTACCCAATCCCATGCACACTAGCAAGCCCCCAGTCAGTAACATTTTCCCTTCCTGGCTTAGTACTCCGAGTCAGTCATCTCCCACATGTTCATCTGCTAGTTCCCAGTCTATGTATTATATTCTCCCTCGCCGCCCCCCCAAAAAAGGATGGGGTGCAACAGGAAAGTACCTTTTCCAGCAGACTCTCAGTTTCTTCCTCAATGTTTATTCTGATTTGGGGGCAGGGTCCACCCACCATCTTCCCTTGGTGCCTATATCCTTCCTGCCGCCATAGTTAGGGATACTATATTAAAGGGGGAGTAGCAGGAGCCTGAGGTAGCCTTGCTTTCTCCTACTAACAGCTCTATCTATTGTCTATTGTGATCATATAGTCAGATCTCCTGTATAACAGAAAATAATCCCTGTATCGTAACTTTTAGAAAACCATCCAAGCTTGATTTTAAAATAGCCAGTGATGGAGAATCCACTACAATCTTAGGTGGTAAATTGTTACAATGATTAATTACCCTCGCTGTTAAAAATGTGCCTTATTTCCAATCTTAGGAATTGTCTACTCTAAAAAGTCTTGTCAGTAAAACTAATGTCCACGAGAAAAAAAAAAAAAGACAAATGCAAAGTTACCAAAGGGTCTTTACACTTGCTCCCTCTGTCGACAGATCATGTCCGCAGCATGGATCAATCATCGTCATCAACGTGAGCAATGCATGATGGGTACATATCCCACAGACCTGGCGACACCATCTGCCAGTAGGTATTGTGGAAATGTGGAACACATCTTGGGACTCTGCTAAAAGTCCCATCAGGCACTGCTTTGTTTCCAAAGCCTCCAGTGGTTTCCACCTTCCTTTCGTGCCATTCTTTCAAGTGACATTCTTTCCTGTGCACTCCAGCATCCTGCCATGAGAGGGGATGGAGCCTGCTCATCTCTCCTAGGCTCTGTTAAATGTCATGAGGCCATCACACATGGCAGCGCAGTGAATCTTCAAGTTACTGACAGAGGAAGACTCTGAGGCGCGTGGCATTCTGCACGACACAGACAGCAGCAATTTAACATTGCTTTTTGCACTCCAAGGGCAGCACTACAGGGTAGACTGTTGCATTTGAGCTAAGAAAACCAGTTCTGAGGGGTGGGATTGCATCATCAGGCAGGTGCGGGATGAAGAGCAGTGGCTAGAGCTTTAAGATGCATAAAACCACCTTTGTGGAACTGTATGCTGAGCTGGCCCTCGACCTGCTGCATAAAGATCATCAGAATGAGAACTGCCCTCTCGGTAGAGAAGCGTGTGGCAACTGCTGTCTTGAACCTGGTGACTCCAGACTGCTCCTGGCTGTACTATTGCAAGTGTGCAGGGTGATAATAAATAAGTCATGGTCCTGCTATGGAGGACCACAACTCTGGCAAATGTAGGTAAAATAGTGCATAGCTTCGCAGAGATGGGCTTGCCTGTAGGGCGGGAAGGGGGAAAAGGGGAATAATTGATGGCACACTTACCTCCTCCATGACTTTTATCATCCACACAGTCCTAGCAAACACTTGAGTCTTTTCTGTCCTGCCTTTTAGCTTCCCAGAACTCCTTTCATTTCCTTGTCTGTCTGGAGGAGTGTTGGAGCACCTCCCTATACACATCTACTTTGCTGTGGATTGGCCTTTTAAGCTGCCTGCAACATTCTGCTGGGTTGCATGCAGTGAACCTCCAAGTCTCTGCTGCTGTGGACAGTGCACAAAAGAGGGCTTGTTAAATTCCAGCTCAGTATTGAAACATGTCACTTACAAGCACCTTTAGCAACATACCAGTCACTCCCTGAGCCTTGCCAGGCACACAGCGCTGCAATCCCCCAAAGCATGGCTTGTGTTGGGGATGAAGGTCTGGGGTTGTGCGCACAGACAAAAGAAAATAGTTTTTGCAGGGCAGCTTTGCAAAGAGCTCATTCTAAAATTATCCCTTGATTTTCCACGGGCAGGTATCATTCTAGCAGACATCTGATCCCCAGATAGAAGCAGCAGAGAGACTGGCTGTACATCGGGCAACCCTGCTGGGAGTTCCACAATCTCGTCTAGCTCAACATCTTAATTTATTACTTTGTCCGGTGGGTTAGATCCTCTCTGCTGCCTCTGTGTCCTCCGCTCCACAGGGCTCGTGGCAGTGGAGATGGGGTCCTTATAGAAACAGCATGTCTTAAGGGCCAGCACTAGAGCAGCCTTATCATAGGCCTACCCCAGCTCCTTTAGCTTTTCTCTGCTCTGCAGTGTCCCCCACTCATAGCCCTTTTCACACAAGCCTCAAGAAATTTGCCATACAAGTCTCAATTCCTACAGGTCATTCATAGCTGGGACTGAACAGATTCTTCTCTCCATATACTGTTTAAAGCCAATACCTCTGCAGTGGTCCAAGCAGGAGAGTGTTTGGTTAGATAGCTAGAAATGGTTACCTAAGAAGATACCAGAAGATCCGTCCATGCTGAGCCATCAAGAAGAAAATGGAATTTATAATTTCCCAGGGCTTGCAAAAGGGAGAGGCAGATTGTTGTTTACCTGGCTGCAGGACAGCAGAGTTCAATAAAAGTGAAAAAAGTCTTGTGCATGTTTGTCAACAGTAAAGGAAAGAGAAAAGAAAAAAAAAGTCTTTCGTACCAGTGAAGCTTTTGTGTTACCAAAACTGGGTGTTTCACAACACAAGACGCAGTGCAGTGTGTACCCCTCTGAATAGAGGGTGAAATAGATAAGGCTTCATTTTGTCCAGCTTCAACTTCCAGCCATTGGATCTTATTTTACCTTTTTCCAGACTAAAGAACCCACTATTAAAGATTTGGTCCCTAAATAAAAGTCTCTATTCTGGATGTATTTGTGTCCAGACTAAGTAACATGGTCCTCAAATGTGGATCAAAGAAAGAAACCTTTCAGATGTATCAGGCTGCCTATTTCTGTCAATGATGTCAAGGCAGGAACAGACTAGAACAATGCTAGTGACTGAATAGCTCCAAATTCCATAGTCACTAATATGTGAAGACTTCCAACACTTCCAAGAAAATAAATGACTTTGACTAAGAAAAAGTGCCACATTAATTTATTGCAGTAACTCTGAGGGGGAAAAAAAGGATTGCACTCCCATGAAATTGTCAGTGCTCCAAGGATGGATGTTGATGCTTAACTGAAAGAGAAATAGTTCTTGAATTTACTTTCGGAATTAATGCTGACAGTTGTAAGGATGGCCTGTCTGAATTAGAAGTACAACATGGAGGCTCACTATAGAAACCTCCCAACATTAAACAAAAACCTTCTGATTGGACCAGATGCCATTGAGAGAACTCTTCTATGGAGCGTAAACATAACACCTTCTGCGATTCAATCTGGACAGTGCAGAGGAGCACAGTGGGATTGCCAGGCTGTGCTCCATTTCCTTACAGAGCTGGAACAAAATTGATGCCCAAATATTTAGTGTTAGGATGTATAAACTTGCAGCCCTCAAGAAAAAATAATATTTCAGGCAGTTCTGTGACTTTCTGCAGTAGTTTCTCCAAATATAGAATTCACATGATAAAAATGGCCATTTCCCCCCCCACCCCCAAGACACTAGTTGTCTCAGCATTCACAAGTAATTTTAAATATCTAATACACTCTGCCTGAATGCTGAGGCTATTAATCTCATTGCAGTCTAATACCATAAATAACTAAAGGATACACAAATATGCATAAGTTGTAATTTTTTATTGGAAAACAAATATACAACTTGGAATGGATCTGAGGCAAATTGTGCCATAAGCAGATTATTCTGAAAAGAAGTGGCTAAACAGAGTTTAAATAAGCATAGTAAGAGAAAATGATTTTCTGGTACAAAAAAAATAGTGTACGAACGAGTACCTAGGTAATACACCCGTTTTGCAATAGTGCAACTTTTAAGTTCCATATTGTTAACTGTCAATAGTCCACGCAGAGTTAAGGCTCCACGTTTTAACAACATGCTAAGTTTCCTGAAGAAAGCTACTTTAACAAGCATAACCCAGATGTTCCCTCATTTGATCAACTCCAACAGACTTTAGATGGGCAGAAGGGCTTAAATATCCAAAGTAAGCCACATGCAACATTTGTTACTTTTGATCAATTTTTCCAAAAACTTGTCAGAACAATGACAGTAAGATAGAGGGAGAAAAAACATAAAATGGAATTCTAATTACTATACATGCATATTTTTGACAGTAAGGGAAAAAACCCTTTACAGATAAGTTACAAACAAAAGGCAAAAACAATTTTGTACAAGAAATTTAACACGTTCTGTACAATCTCTTCACTTTGCTGTCATCATTTGTACAAATTCTGAAAAGAAAAAGAAAGATGTATTAGTATCTTGCAAACCCTCTCATTACAAGCCGTCAAGACCCCTGTATTTACAGAGCTACTGTGCTAATGAATGTTTGAGATGCCTTTTGCGGGACTATGTTTGATGTTTTGCTATCTTTTCCAATCTGTTCCAAAAGAACCTGTTACCTGCATATCAGGATGTCATTTGCAGTTGTAGTTCTGAATGTCAGCTTGTCCCCCAAAACCTAAGGGACTTTTGTAGTACTGAATCCCGTAACATTGACGCCTTATCTTGCCTCACCAGAGTTAAAAATATTTGTTTCTAAGGCAGCTATAATCGATATATAACTAATCTGATAGCTTTCTTTGATAGGATAACGAGCCTTGTGGATAAGGGAGAAGCGGTGGATGTCATATACCTAGACTTTAGTAAGGCATTTGATACGGTCTCGCATGATATTCTTATTGATAAACTAGGCAAATATAACTTAGATAGGGCCACGATAAGGTGGGTGCATAATTGGCTGGATAACCGTAGTCAGAGAGTTGTTGTTAACGGTTCTAAATCCTGCTGGAAAGGGATAACAAGTGGAGTTCCTCAAGGGTCTGTTTTGGGACCCGTACTGTTCAATATCTTCATCAATGATGTAGATATTGGGATAGAGAGTACGCTTATTAAGTTTGCAGATGATACCAAACTGGGTGGGGTTGCAACTTCTTTGGAGGATAGGGACATAATTCAAAATGACCTTAGCAAGTTAGAGAAATGGTCAGAGGTAAACAGGATGAGGTTTAATAAGGAGAAATGCAGAGTGCTCCACTTAGGAAGGAACAATCAGTTCCATACATACAAGATGGGAAGCGACTGTCTAGGAAGGAGCATGGCGGAAAGGGATCTAGGGGTCATAGTGGACCACAAGTTGAATATGAGTCAACAGTGTGATGCTGTTGCCAAAAAAGCAAATATGATTCTAGGTTGTATTAACAGGTGTGTTGTAAGCAAAACTCGTGAAGTCATTCTGCCGCTCTATTCTGCACTAGTTAGGCCTCAGCTGGAGTACTGTGTCCAGTTCTGGGCGCCACATTTCAAGCAAGATGTGGAGAAATTGGAAAGGGTACAGAGAAGAGCGACAAGAATGATTAAAGGTCTAGAGAAGCCTATGAAGCCAGGCTTCATGAACTGGGCTTGTTTAGTTTGGAAAAACGAAGATTAAGGGGGGACATGATAGTGGTTTTCAAATATCTAAAAGGGTGTCACAAGGAGGAAGGAGAAAATTTGTTTCTCTTGGTTTCTGAGGACAGGACAAGGAGTAATGGGCTTAAAGTGCAGCAGGGGAGGTTTAGATTGGACATTAGGAAAAAATTCCTAACTGTCAGGGTGGTCAAATATTGGAATAAATTGCCAAGGGAGGTGGTGGAATCTCCCTCTCTGGAGATATTTAAGAACAGGTTGGATAGACATCTGTCAGGGATGGTGTAGACAGAGCTTGGTCCTGCCTTGAGGGCGGGGGGCTGGACTCAATGACCTCTTGAGGTCCCTTCCAGTCCTATGATTCTATGAGTCTTCAGAAAGTTTGATGGGTCTTCAGCAAATGCTTAGCAGCTGCAGATTTCCACTTTGAAAAGACATTAATGTACTAGCTTTGACTACTGGGCAAAGGCTGCATTACTAGTCTCTTTTATAAGAGAGGGAAATTAGCCTGCCATGACATAAAACCCCTCCAAAATAACTAGGTTTTTTTTTTAAACTGTTTGTGCCTAGGAGAGGCTGCGATATGGGTCCATGAAGCAGTTGACAATTTAAGTCATAGTATGAAATGCCCGTTATTCAATTATTTTGTTCAACAATACATAACAAAGTTGTATCATGAGACAATGGCTGAAAGTTAAAGTTAGACAAATTTATATGGCAAAAAAGGAGCACATTTTTGATAGCAAGGATAAATAGTGTTGATTTATCAAGGGTTATGATGAATTTTTAAATCTAAATTGAATGATTCTAAAAATAAACTCTAGGCATTATTTTGAGGAATTTGTATGGCATGTATTACACAGGAGATCAGAATACACTATTACAATATTTCATCCTGACCTTAAAATCTATGAGTCTAGATCTCCTTAAACCCAAGGAAGAATGTGCTGACAGGGTGAAATTTGAGCGCCTCTGAAGACATTAACTAGCATGCACTAGGGAACATTAGCTAGTCATTGAGCAACAGAGCGAAGGAGCCACAAACGCTGCTCGGCAGCAGGAGAGGTGGAACAGATATCAGTTCCTCATTGTATGTGCTTTCTTTATATGCTGGACTAGTTTTCCTACTAGCGGGGAGGAAGAATTTGCCACTGACAATGGGAGATAAAAGGAAAAAAATCCAATTACTAACATAGAGCTCGCAGGATCTATATTATATAGAGAAACATTACTTGGTCCTGGCCCCTGAAGTGTGATTAATGTTAGGGAAACCTATGCCAGGCAACTTTTTACTTTAGAAAAATGAAACGTTTTCTGTGAAAGTGCTTGAGATTACAGGGACCAATGCTAGACTTTGTCAAAATGGAAATATCTGATTAATATATATATATAGAATTGATAGTTTGCTTCTATAGTTCTGTATACCAATTGCTAGTAATCTAAATATTTGCTTACCCTCTTACGTTACAATATACATTGGGAGTAGCATTTTGTTACCATTAACTGCAAGTCTATTTGAACACATTAAAGTGGCCTCCCACTAAAGTCAAATGCTTGCAAAGCTTAAGATATACAGAAAGATATCTAATCTTAGATGACTAGAATGATTAAGGTACATTACAGTTGAAGGATCTGAGGTTTTTTTTAGTATCCATCAAGACCCTTTCGGTTGCCCTACAGCAGGCCTGCACCACTCGGAAAGCGGCGATGGCCATATTACTGCAAAGAAAACAACTGCAGACTGCAAGTAGGGATGCTTTCCCAAAAAATACTGAACACGTGGGCTAAAAATTTGTGTCGAGCAAAAACAAAACACCACGTGTCTCCACTTGGCCCCGTGGCATTTGTCTCTCCTGCACCCTGCCCCTTTCTCCTGACCTGCCCTCCTCCGCTTAGCACAAGCCCCTTCCCCTCCCCTACCTGGCTTCTGCCTTCCAGGTTGCAGGGCTGCCGAAGCCTTTTTGAAACCGGTAGTGGCCAGCCGTGACGTCACGACGCCACATCATGCCAGCGTCCTGACACCTGCCACTGCCGGTGTCCCGCCCTCTGGCTCGCGCCCCACCTCCTCGCGCCAGAGCTGCATGCAGGCAGCTCAGTAGCGATAATTGCCGCACTTCCCCCTCCCTGGTGGCGCTCCGCTCCTCCGCTCAGCCAGAAAACATCAATTGTTCTTATTAAAGCTTACCTTCATAGTTTACTTGACCATCACCATCAATATCTGCTTCCCTAATCATTTCATCAACTTCTTCATCTGTTAGCTTCTCTCCAAGATTTGTCATCACATGGCGAAGTTCCGCAGCACTAATATAACCGTTTCCATCCTAAAGAAAGTTGAAAACCTTTGAAGAGAATTCAGTATAAACTAAATAACCTCTGAATTTATTCTACATACAGTACTCCTGGACAAGATTTAGGAGCTTCTCTAGAGGATAATTACTATTATATCACTTCTAGAGAACCAGTGCCCAGTGTCAGATTTGTTTTCTGTGGTATCTTAACAATTCACAAGTTACTAGCCCTACATTTACTGTATGACTTAATAAGTATATCTTACCAGTATAACATTCAAAAAAAACCAAGTGATCTGGTTTTATATTTGTTCTATAAACAATGTAAATGAAGTAGTAAATTCTCACCGGTCTCAACCATTCTTTGATAGAGTGCTATCTTAAGTTTGATGACCAACCACTACGTGAATTTAAGCAGCTTTTAAGGCACTTGACTATAATAGAAAAAAAATCCATGAGATGCAGCCAAAACGTGTAGCATCTAAGTTCTTGTGAATTTGTGAAAGCTCTATTTCCAGCTTTGAACAAGTATGGTAACCATTTACATAGGCACTCGGGTGCTTTACTGAAGAACGACCTGAATTGTCTTGTGTGAACCTCCTGAAAGAGACCTCCATTTGTATACTGAATTTTATAACTTGCCTCCCAATAAGATTTATTAGTATTTCAAAATCAGTCCAAGTAGTAGGAACAATTTCTCACTGACTAGAACCTAAGGTATGTCCACCAGGCCTTCCATTTGTTATATGAAGAGGATCATCCAAGTCCAAGAGCAGAAACTGTACTTATTATATATAATCTAATTGCTGTACAGGATTTCTACAGTTTGGAAAGTTAGTGGCAGGTGTTATTTGGAAGTGATTTTATTCAATCCCTCAACTAACTTGCAAACCTTATACAACCCTTCAGTACCTTATCAAACACACGGAATGCCTCTCTAATTTCTTCTTCACTGTCTGTATCTTTCATCTTTCTTGCCATCATTGTCAGAAATTCTGGAAAATCAATTGTGCCATTGCCTGCAAGATAATTTTGTTATTAGTAATGCATTTAATAAGTTTATTTTCAATTAACTGCTTCTTAGAAAGCTTACCATCAGCATCTACTTCATTGATCATATCCTGTAGCTCAGCTTCCGTGGGGTTTTGACCAAGCGATCGCATCACGGTTCCCAATTCCTTTGTTGTTATAGTACCATCACCATCCTTGTCAAATAATGAAAAGGCTTCTTTGAACTCTGTTTGACAAAACAAGACACCAGGCATTGGTTAGTTTTAATAGTCATAGTTAAAAATGTATTGCTTGTGATCAATTATTATCACTAATAATGATCAATTATTAGTTTCTTGATTTAGATTAGACAATATTCATTCTAGAAAACTAAATCCAACATCTGAAGTAACCAATAACCTGTCTAGAGTCATGATATGAAGGAATATTTCCCAGTGGTACAGTTGGATCTACCAGACTTATCTACAGGACAATTCAATTAAAGTATGAGGTTAATCCTAGCAAGTCTTAGAAAAAGCTCTTAAATATATGCTAGGGTAAGCTTCACTTTCCATTTTTCTGAAAAGTTTGAATTCCACTTAGGGTTTACAATTGTGAGGGAACTTCTATCAGTAACTCCACTAACTGAATGAGTTAGAAAAAAAATAAACCTAGTATGACAGGGTTAGCCATACATTAGAGTGTGGTATGAAAAGTGGCAACAGTCACAATTAAAATTTCTATGGAAATAGTTTTCCGAATCGGTTTTGATCGGATCTACCATTAGAGTATAATATACACTAACTTCGATAATTTTCTTAAGAGAATTTATGGAGAACTACTTCTTATCGAGGAAACATGCTTGCAGAGATTTTCCAAGTAAACATGTAAGTTGATTTTAACTCTAAGTTCTGTTGCATACAGTACTTGAAAGCAGTAGGTTTAGGATGAGCAGCCTTAACCTAAAGGAGCACATTCTTCTAGAATATTTATCATCTGACTTCTCAAACAGATGGTCAACCGACATCATAGCCTTGCTTGATGTGAGTCCAGTATTTAGCAATTGTGACCATCAGCACCCTAATCTACAGGAACAATTTGAAAATATAAACTAGATATAGAACAAAATATTGAAACTTCATTAGCAGCCTGTTTCATCTTCTACTATAGATGAAACATCACAAGCTCTTTTGTACATTATTAAAGTAGGTATTTATATCTATTTCAGCTACAATATCTTAGCCAAAAATAGGGATGTAAAAAGTAATTAAAAAATGTAACCATGCAACTGCTAAAAATACTAGCAGTTACATGGTTACCAGCAGCCCCTGCTAGCCTGGCTCCCGGAGTCAAGTGATACTGCACAGCATATAGTGAAACTTCCCCGGCAGAGGGCCAACAGGGTGAGGTTAACCATTTAAATCCCTAGTTACAAGTAGCCTTTGAACAGTAACCTTTCATTCGTTAGCAAAAACAAATCAGGAGTATTGGCTCTTGTACTATTTTACAATAGTTAGTTTGATTTCCGGTTTTCAGTTGCACTTAACCACCTGAGTGGATTCTTCACTAAAAGTAAAGTGCAATTTTTCCAGAAGGTATTAATTTACCTCACTTCTGAAGGCTTACTTTGAGCAGTGCTAGTAGAGCCCTTAAAATGTGAGTAAAGATCAAGCTAGAGACAAGTGATTCACTGCTATCTGTTGTACCAGGGACAGGAGTGAACACCAAGTACGCCCAAATATCAACTACATTCCCTGAGGAAGGTCAGTAGAAGAAATGCTGTTTGGCTGTACAAGGTAGCAATGAAGCGGTTTGAGTCCATCCCAACAAGCAAACAAAAACACACCTCCACCAACCCATCCACTTTTGCAAGAGGCATCTGATTTAAACTCAAGTGAGGTTTGACTGACTCATTTATTTCACAACATGAAGCCAGTTTGAAGCTTAATGGCCAGAATGCTGAAGATTACACTTACACACAACTATCTGCAGTAGACACAGTAAGATACGTTTGTCATCTAAGTAGGCGACTGAGGCCACATCTACAGCATGATATATGGTCAACTTTATTACAGTCAATGTCTTGGCACCTGATTTAGTACAGTCAAAGGTTCATGTCCCCACTGTGTGCAACAATTCAACATAGTTTGAAATAGTGCATCCCAATGAGGTAGACTGCTGTTGACTTTGAGAGCAATCCACTATGGGTGCCTGTGTTGCTTTCCATTCTGGATTATGCTTCCGGTGCACACTAGAACCAAAACTATGCAGTGGGTGGTTATGGGTTCATGTGGTCAGTGACCCAGAATGCACATCTACCCCCCCCCCTCCAGTTGAGATCAACAGGAAACAGCCTTTTTGCACCCTATTTGGACCTGCGCAGACACCATAACAGTGTGGGTACAGACCCCCACTTGTGGATCCTGCTCTGCATCAAACCATTGTGATGACGTCTACCTTGGTGCCAAATGGTGCAGTATTTTGAGACTGTAAACATAGTATGCTAGGAAGAGGACAAGCAGGAACATCCCTGGAGATCATCTCTATCTTGGGGTCTCCTGGGCATACTGTACAGGCAAACCTCTGCATTCAGCAAAATGGAAATGCAGCTGCCAAACAACCCTCTGAACACAGCGCAATGTTGGTTCTGGTGCTGAGACACAAGCACAGACTGGTGGGACTGTATAGTGCTGCAGGTATGGGACAATCATCAGTGGCTGCAAAACCTGTGAATGTGCAAGGCCACTTCCATGGAACTTTGCAAATGGCTCCCCGCCCCACAAAGCACAGGGAGACACTGAGACCCACTCTGACCATGGAAATGTGCGTTAGTTAGGAATTCATTTGGAGTTGAGAAGTCTACAGTAGGGGCTGTTATATAAGTAGCCAAGGCAACCAAAACTAGTGACTCTGGGAAATGTGGATACCCTGGTGGATGGCTTTGTTGTGATGGGATTCCCTGAGGTGGGGCAATAAAGTGAATGCACATCATCATCTTGGGCCCCCTGATCATCTTGCAAAGGAGTCCATAAACCACAAGGGGTACTTTTCCATGGTGCTACAGGAGCTGGTGGCTCATACAGGCCATTTCACTGACAGCACTGTAGGATGATTGGGAAAGGCACATATATCTTTTAGAACTTCTACCTCTTCAGAAAGATGCATTCTGGAACTTTTCCAGAATAGAAAGTCAGAATCAGAGAGGACCCAACCTACCCCTTGCTCCTGTGGCTCATTGAAGTCCACAGGCAGCCTGGACCCCAGTAAGGATCAGTTCATTTTGCTCTTGTTCAGTCTGTAATTGGTGGTTGAATGCGCATTTGGGTATTTAAAGGGAACGTTTAGGAGTCTACTAAATAGGTTGGACCACAGCAAATAAAACATTTCCTTTATGGGGGCAGCCTGGTGCATGGGGGGGGGAGAGAAGAGGGAAGAGAAGTTATTTAGTAACGGTGGGCGCTGAGGCAGAGCCACAGATTTTAAGCAACGAGATACCAGGGCTACATCTATATTAGTAAGATGTCGTACAAAATCTTACCTCCTGTCTACACTGGCCGCAAGTACTTGTGCAAGAACACTGACATTCTAATGTATAAAATCAGTGCTCTTGCGCAAGTACTCTGACACTCCCGCTCAGGGATAAGCCCTCTTGCGCAAGAGACCAGTGTAGACAGGCAACATCAATTTCTTGTGCAAGAAAGCCTGATTTTTAAAATGGCCATCGGAGCTTTCTTGCACAAGAGAGTGTCTACAGTGGCATGGATGCTCTTGCACAAAAGCACATCTTTTGCACAAAGGCACATGCCAGTGTAGACACTCTCTTACTCAAATACTCTAACGCAAAAACTCTTGCGTTAAAGAGTATTTGCGCAAAATCTTGCCACTGTAGACGTAGCCCAGGGGCATGGGGCAGTCCAAGTCATAGAGGCTTTGAAAGAAAGTTTTATGAATAGCCAGTTTTGAAAGTCATGCACTTTACTCTTGAGGTGCCCCTGCCTCCTGCGTGTTTACCTGTAATCCCCCACCCTTCTCCTACAATACAAGCAATAGAGACTTGCTCAGATATGCATTTTTATTTAGGAAAGACAGCAGGGACAGAAAAGAAGTCCATGGTGGGAATCCGAAAGGGGTGCTCAGAAACACAAGGATGACAGCCTTTTGCCTACTGAGGCCCTGAAGATTGAGTTTGAGACTGCCCTTTAATTGTTCTCCCTATACACCTCCATCACATCCTGAGGCCTCAGCAGTAGAGGCTATGGAGTGGGGGGAGAAGAGAGTTGTTGTGCATAGGGGCCACGGTCTCCATTACAGCTGTCAGGGACAAGATTATATTCTCCTGTTGCTTTGCTTGTACTTCCCAGTGTTATTCCTTGAGAAAAGCAGGAATACCAAAATAAACTTCAATGGCTCTTAATGACAACCAAACAACCTTGGTAGTGTAAGGCAATATATTGCAAGCTTATTTAAGTGCACTCACTCGTTTTACTGCATTGTAACAACATCTGTTGGAAAACTTAACTGAAATTTAAGCACCTTGATTGTTCCATCACAGTGGTCACCAACCAGTTGACCAGGATCTACTGGTAGATGCTAGAGCCTCTGACAGATGATGGGGTGGTTTGGCTGGGAGGCTGTCTTCAGCTGCCTCTTTCCCCATTACTGGGCTGCTCCTGACCTCTGTCTTGAAGCTGCCCCCAAGAACCTCCTGCTTGCTGTTCAGGGTGGAAGTGGAGCGGAGGCACTGAAGTCAGGGTGCCCTCCCCCCCCCGTTCCCTATCGCGACAAAGTGAATAGGATGGGGCCTCAGAAGGGGTGGTATAGGTGCAGGGACGGAGGCAGGGCAAGGGGATATGGGTCTGAGGTAGATCCTAGATTAACTTAAATTCAAAACATGATTATGTACTTAAAGTTGGAGATCACTGTTCTACCAGATTTGAACCACATACTACGTGTACCTGACATGTATACAATGCACGATTGTTCAAAGCAAATTAAACAAGTTGTGAGGGTCCCTGCCCTGAAAAGCTTGCAATTTAAACCAAGTGGACAAATAGATGTTAGTTCAGAGAGGGGGACTAGAATGGATTTACGGTCATGAAGGATATACCTACACTTGAAACACCAATGGTGCAGCTGATGAGCTATAATACTTCAGTGTAGTACTTCAAGACTGTGCAATTGTGAGGCATGCCCCCTACATGGGTGCAGAGGAACAAGGCAGGGGGGGGGGGGGTGAGAGGGAGGGAA